GAACACTGATTAAGCAGCCCCAGTTTTGGACAGAAGAATTAATTTGCAGGTGCTCTAACTGTCCTCTCCACCTGCCACTAATGTCAGCCAGATTTCAGATACTTGGTGCAGATCAGCTAGTCTGTCAGCATGTTATCTTCTGGTAAGAAGCAGCCTTTTGCCAGCCAACATTTCCCTTAACTGTTGCACAGGGCATTCCACCCAGTGCTGGGTAGAAGACTGAGCCAGCACAACAAACAGCCCTCTGACTCCTAGAAATACTTGCAGAAGCCCTGCACAAAGCAGTATTTATCAACCATAATTGGAGTCCTGAACATCTCTGCAGAACAGCTGATACTAAATTTTCTTAGCAGCATTTTTGTTACGCATAAACTCTAAGTCAGGAGGGCCCCACAGTTTCTATCATGGAGCCATCAAAATGCAGAGGTGCTACAATAAACCTTACAGACAGCTCCTTTAGCCTATCACCTATCTTTCTGCTCTGCTTTCATCTTTTCCTGCTTCCTCCTGGGGGAAGTTTCCCAAGTATTAGAGGAAGCATTGGATACAATGGTTTTAAAGGCTTTGGTTTACTCCCACCCTGCATCAAAAGCCGTAAATTATTCTTTTGCCAGCCAGTGAAAAGTTATGAACTACCTTCTGTAAACTGCTAATGAAACTGAAGCCTGTCTTTAGCCAACAGTAACAGTGCCTGTGGGAAAGTTGTTCTTGTCCCACCCTAGGAGTCAGTACCACTGGGTCTACCTGAGCAGCTCATTAAGGGGCACTGAGCATAGCTATCACACCAGGGGAGCGCTGTCTTCCCAACCAAAATTACTGTGAGCAAGACCTTGCCTACGCTGACATCAACGACAGAATTCCCTGTTATCTTTTTTAATAGGACAAGTAAGAGGATTTCAGACACTAAGTATCTACCTTACTGCAGATGGTTTCTTTTGAGATACTACTCAGATACGAATACAGTTTTCTGCCAAGATATCAGTAGAGATCACATAGCTATTTCATTTTACAAAAAAACCTCCAGAAAATTACATTCAGCTACAGAAAACGTTTTTTGATAATTCTCACAGAATTTCTTCTACTCCTATGAAATATCTTCACTTCTAACCTAGAGGCCCCAAAAATGAAATAGAAGCCTTCAAGTTAGTTGAGATAAAGTGAGACAGAAAGCAAGACTGAAAGAAAGCACATGCTGCTTAGAATTTGTCTGATGCAGTTCATTTTGTGAAGATGGGGCGTGCTGCTGGACAGAGTGATGAAGGAAGAGAGATACTGCTGCCTATGTTTCTTCACCAGGATCCCCTCATGCACATACTTTGGCTACCTGACAGATGCAGACCTTTGATTTATCAGTGTTGCAGGATTACTAAGAGATGTCGCAACTCCCAACACAGACTTCCAGCTGCCAAAGGTCTCTTTAAACTTACACAGCTGCAATACATTGCCTAGATAACTTTCCGCCCTTTCTTAACCTGTAACACCTTTCACACTCCCTCCAAAATTATACCCTATGTTTATATATGATGAATTTTCCAGAAGAGTGAAAACAGACTTCTTAGTGCAGCATCATTACCCCCTCTCTTGGCAGAGAAGTAGCAAAAGAGCCTGTCTGAGCTGGCAACCATCAAGCTTTACAGTCCAACAAGTTCCACTACTATAATGAAAATCCAAAGACCTGGAAACAATATACAGAGCTTCCCTGACTAATTTTATTATGCAGACACACTTAATAGCTCCTGTTACAATCACATTTATAAGCAGGAAAACAGTACTGGATTGTGACTATCACACTAAATCGACATGGATTATCAGTCATTAAAAAGGAACAAAATTAGCATCAAGCAGTAATATTTTACACTTATCAAATCTAGAGCTGGTCAAGGTTCATTACAATACTGTGCAATAAAGTCAGGAAGCATTGGCTCATTCTACAGAACATTTAAATCTCTATTGTATTTGTGTAGGATATAATTTCTGATAGCAATAAAGCCTAATAAAAGTTACACCCCGATGAATAAAGTGTTAATAAATTGACCCGAGACATTTAAATGGCTAATTATATTTGAGATAAAGGAGGATTCGCTTGTTTCTATAGATTGTTTGAAGCTGCACTCTAACCAGCTAACTAACCAACTACAAGATGATTTTATAAAAATATCTCTAATATGAAATATTAATATTTCTAGCTCCTTTTCAATAGATTAATAATTAATTAGAATTTCCTAATAGATTTCCTATTCATCAAAAGGATCATACCTCTTGTTAAAATATCTAAGCTTTGCACAACTTAACTTTCAGCTAATCCCTAGATTTTATTACACTTAAAAATATTTACAACTACTCTATTTAGCTTTTCCATTGGTTCTCTCAATGATGCAAAATAGGATACTGCACCATTATAGTACAAACAATAGTATTACAGAAAGTATGTAAAAGGAGCCCAAACAGCACACCAAGACAGGTCATTCATACGGGATAATTACCACAGTGGGGCCTCACAAGATCCTGGGCCTTGGGCCTAAGCTATCATCCTTCAAGACTGAATCACTTAGGGGCTTCTAAGTACTTCCTAAACTACACAGTAGAGTTTCTGAATGCTTTGGTGAATTGCTTCTCCAAACTGCACTGTAGCTGATAGTTAAAACTGTAGCAGGCCCCTGACATGAAGTTACCACCAACATCACTGGGCTTTGAGACGCTGAGAAATAGTTCCAGACACTGGAGAAGGAGCGTCTTGAGTATGGAGAATGACTGGATGACCGAGATGGTACAAAGGGGTGACAAAGTGATAGTCAGTTCTCAAAAAGAAAACAGACCAGAAATCACTAGAATTGGCACATTAGTTGTTTTTGAAGGGAATTTTACATGGAAGAGTGAAACAGGACATGCGGTTTTCCACAGCACGAATTGAAAATTGCCAGCCATTGCTCTCTAATGCGTTTATTACTAATATGTACCCAGGCTTTTCAGCCCCTACTTATTGCTAGCGTGTGCTCCAGCTGTCGAAGGGGGAGAGGGGAGGTGTGCAAGAACCACAAATCCAACTGAAGTGGGAATTTTCATTTTTTGAGCAGCTCAGTTTTGTTTTCCATTGAGTTTAGCTCAGAAGTCTGCTGCTGCTGATAGAATCACCATCAAAGGAGAGAAGGGAACATATCTCTCCCGACAGCTTTCTGCTTTCTTCTTTAGGTTCACTAAGGGAGTCTTGTAGTGACTTGACCCATACAGAGAGAACCCCTCATTGGTCCATAATCTTTAGATGACTAGAAAACAACTATGGTTAGGATCACAATAGAGACAGCAAACAAAGCAGCTGCAGTTCACAAGTTCTGTCTCTCAACACCTATTCAAAATTATGCAACTTGGGAAACTACACCAAACTTAGTCTCTGGAAAAATGGTATTAAACTCTTTCTAAAGGCAATCTTCACCTGCATCTGAGAGAAACAATACCAGATAACACCTTCACTTCACCACCTACTTTTAGAGGTAAATGTATACCAGAAAAAATTGTAGACTGAAGACATTTTTTACAGTTAGTTAATGTACTTTAAGAGCTTGGTACAAAATGTTTGAGGCTTCACAAGGAAAGAAAATGAGACCTTAAACAAAGGAAATTTCAGACAAGATTCATGCAATTTTAGCATGCAATACTTTAACATATCACTTCTGCATCTAGCTGGTTCAGTTCTCCTGCTACTTTCCTCATCTACTGAGGATGAACCATTCCCTTCAGGAAAACATAAGTTCCATAAACTACTATCATTCTACATCCTGAAAACATTTCAGAAATTTGTGGTCTTGGTCTTAGAAAGCCAGTTAGTTCCCCCTTCAGCTCCTTTTGCACTGCTACTATGTTCTGCAACATCATCATATAACAGCTTTCACAATTGGTAAAAGAGAGTGGATTACAGGAATTGTTTTACTTGCATAGCTCCAGCTGAGCTATAATGGAAAAGCTGATACTCATAAGCAGGTTGGGAAGTCTTTAAATGATACAAGTCTAGATAATGTTTCCATGAATCTAGCATAGATGGAAATAGAAGAAACATGGCACTGTGTTGACTTCTGTTATTATTCAGCAGTCATCAAGACAAAAAGTCAGAAGGAAGTTTATTATAATTTCTCCCAGTATCTTTGGTTCTCTTTCTTGACATACTTATCTTCCAGCATAAGCTGCAACATCATAAATTGCTCTTTTTTTCTGGTACATTATCTAGGTTAAAGAAGTTTTGTAACTGATCCCAGGTCGATAAAGCATTTGCAAACAGGCAAATGTTCCATTACTATCACAGGACATCAGGATATTGCAAAAGTCTTTGATTCGTTTGTTGCCATCTTGTTTTTATATCACATCCTACATCGATTCTGTTTTTTAAAATGTCATTTTAATGAGGCAGCTCTTTCCTACCTGAGTTCTTAGAGTTTTCATATGGTTGCATCAGATAGCCTGCACATGTATGCAAGTACTTTTTACAGACTTTACTTTAGCATACCCAAGAGGCCACAGTCATGACTATGCTCTGATCTACTTTATCAAAGTAAAAGTTCAATTCATATCCATTTCCTGAAGCACTGCCAAGCTTCCCTTCCGTGAGGCCAGCTCTTCCAGGCACTGCACCAGCTACACCAAGCAGGGTAGTCAATTTTTTCTCTTCCTTTTGTTCTTGTTGCCCAAGTTCGTGCTAACAAACACCCAGTTCAGAGGGACAGAGAAGCAACAACACCTGATGTATGCCAGTTTCTCCCCCTTCTGTTTTTGATTCCCTAGCCCCTACAATTTAACCAGCTTAAAATTGAATGGCAGTTCAAGGTACCCCGAAGAACATAGCAATGTAAAAATCACATACCTTAATATGTTACAGTTAAGCCTTTATACTTCTTGAGTCATCATAACTACTGTAACAATCAGAAAGATCAACACAAAGGAATAGTGTTATGGAGATCAACAACAAGGGAACCAACGCAATATAAAAGCGTTACAAAGAAAATTGTGCTCACCTGTGCCTGAAGATCCAGGCTCAGAAAGGAAACTCCACAAAGAAAGGATCTCCAACCAAACAACCTTCCCACAGGGCAGTCAGCCCTTAAATGAGCTCTAGGAGAGGTGCAGCTGGGCTCCTCCCCTTCCAGTCACACAGATGAACTGCCTTCACCTGTGCTCCTACGGCTGACCGTGTCCTTTTCCCACATGCTCAGTGAGTGGGTCAGGCTGGGACTCAGTTCCCATACAACTGCTATGCAACAATGAAATTGCAATATTTGAACCTCAAAAAAAAAAAAAAAATTAGCATGGATTCCTTGCTAAGCTGGAAATTCTCTAGGTGTATTGCAGTGGTGTGAAAACTTACCTTTGCAATTCTGTTGTATTAATGTTCTACATATAATATTAGAATACAGTCTGGGTATTTTTTAATACAATGAAAAATCAGCCTATGTCCTTTAGAGGAAGCATTCATACGACATGAGGTAGACTCACTAAGACCCAAACAGGATGCTCACATAGGGAAAACATTTTCTTCAATAAGAACCTGTCAACAACTCCAAAATACTAATCCTGTTGCATTATTAGTAGACACACATATTATACTAAAGAAAAATAGCTGATAGTGTTTGCCATTAAAAAATCTTGTGTTTTTAACAGGAAAATACATAAATCAAAGATGGCTTAAGTTTTGATATGTTGTGCTAGCAAAGACATGAAGTAGTAAGTATAAAAACTTCACAAAAAGTAAAAATGCTCAGCCTGTCAATTTATCAACTAATTACTGCATTATCTTGATTTTCTAGCTCATTTGTTTCATGTATAACTGAAAGTCTAAGATCAGTAAAGAAGAACACTCCCAAAGTATCATTACTGTCACTGAAATGAGACCAACTTTCCTACATTTTCTTCAATTCAATGCAAAAAGCCTGAGTCTGCATTCAAGAGCAAATGCTTATCTTGCTAAGGAAATCTCTGCTAAAGATCCAGTTGATATTGCTGTTGTTAAATGAAATTTGAAGTGTCAATAGCTGCAAAACCAGTATTTACTTTCTTCCCTTCTTTGATGTTTTTTCAAAATTCTGTACTAAAATCCTAAAAGCCTAGGGGTGTTTGTTCTTGTTCAAAATAGCTTCAGTCTCATTGATGCACTACCTTAATTTCTTTGCATGTTGAATTTCCTTCTGAAAAATATATCTGTATTGTATGTTTTTGAAATGGATTACCAAGCAGGTGTTAGACTTGAAACGCAGCACAGAGCCCAGTGAGTTGGCTCCCATGTAATATCCTGTCTTTTGGGAGCATTTTGGCAAGCAGAAGTGGGATTCCACAGTGGAACCAGCAGGGATGTCTCAGGTTAGTCTTCTTCAGTGACAAACGTAGATTGTAGCTTTTAATATAGTGCCTTTACTCTGCTGCTGTGTATCCTTGCAACTCTGTCCCTGGACCTCAGTACATCCACCAATATATAGGTATACCTGTATGTATTATAGGTTCAGAAATCCTTAAGAAAAGTAAATTAGGAAGGTCACTAAGGAAGTCCGAGGCTTTCTGATTCACATTAACTATCTTCTACAATGAGAGCAGAAAAATAATTCCTCCCTCCCTCAGGGCATGCAGATGTGAAAACTGCACTGTGCAGAGTACCATGAAGTACCCAGCTCTCCTGGGAAGTCTAGTGGGTTGGACATTTTCTTTGGCTCCTTTTAGGAAATATCTCTAAATTCTCCAGCAGTATTAAACTTCTTATTCACAAAGTGCATTACAGGTATTTATGTGTATTTACAAGTACTTCGCCCCATCTACATATTAAGATTCTCCATTTTCTCCCAAGAGCTTCTGTTAATTAGCAGAATGAAACTTTACCATAGTTTCCTGTGTTTTTTAAATTAGTGGTAGAGTTCTACAAGTTACCCCAGTTTCCTTAGTCTTCAGGAAAGGTATGCTGTAAAGGTTTATTTCTTCCTGTCATTCTAACTAGTTTAAGACAGCATAATTCTATGACAATAAACAGCAGTTTGCTTTTACAAACTCTTGAAGAAGCTTATTGAAAATCACTGGGACTGTTCACAACACTTGCAAAAACCAGTGGCAGAACACGACCTTTCCTTAATCTGCCATTGTTAGCTAGCCCACACAGTCGAAGGAAGAAAAACTTGGTGTTCTAGAAGCACGACCCATGAAATGAAGGGTGAGCTCCTTTGTGAGAAGGTGTAATAACTTATGGGAAGATGGATTGGTTTGGTCCCCAAAAGACAAAATACAACATTTATTCCAAAAAGACTTTGATCTTTTCAGCTGAAGTCTTGTCACAGATTAACTTTTCCATGAATATCATACTATTTTCTTATGAAGAACAGTGGATACTGAAATTGTAAAATATCTGTTTGCACTTAAGTCGCATCCAGCCCAAATCCAGGAATTCTGCTCTAAACTGAATTAGTTTTTCTCAAGGAAAATCGCCTCACTGAAGTCTTCCAGCCAATTCTGCATCTGTAACTGGGCTTCTATAGCTTTCTCTATTTGCTGCTATTCCATCCCTGTGGACAACATGTATACAAAAACATACTTGAAAAAACGGGAATTCCATGTGAATGTCAAAGGGAAGAAAGGGGCCAGCTGCTAGTTTAAAGTATGATCAAACATGATGAGTTTGCCTAAAGTATCAATGAAAAGTGAACAGCTCTCAGAACAGAAACCCAACAAAAGGAAGTAGAGTATATCTTCTATGGGAACAGTGGTCCACATAGAGCAGTCAGCAGGAAGATGTATCCTTGACAAAACCAGAGCACTGCAGCAAGGCACACAACAAATATGTACAGTTAAGCAAAAAATCCTCATTTGTAGCCAAACTGAATTAACTTCACTGCTGAAAAGAACGTTTTTCCATAGTTCCAGAAAACTCCTAAAACAATAGTGGTTAACTTCACAGAGTGTAATTTAAGTAACAAAGATCCACGTGTCTTAGCATAGCACAACTGTATGGTCAGCATCAAGTATGTACTTCTTAACAGCAGATATATTGCACACAGCAATTATAGCAGAGTTAGAGGAGAAAATAAGTAGGGGACAGAAGTAAAGCTCAAATGCAACAATGTTTACACATGTGATTTTTTTAGCAGCCAGTTACCATCAGTTCCCTCCACCTTGTTTCACCTCGCTGTCCATCCCATCATCTTGGGATTCAATCACTGGCGTGCACAGGCATGTCGTAAATACAATGCAGGTGTGCCCTGAGAATTTATCCAACTCTGCATACAGTTTGCAGACACATTATTCCTGCAGGACATAGTTGTGACATGGAAAAGAGTTTGGAAATGACTATGATAGTTCCAAAGTATTTGGAATTTCAGAATGCCCAGTTGAGAACAAGTTATTGCACATTGGAACAACAGTGTTTCTGACATGGACTTCCAGTGAAGAGGTAAAAGCTGACGCTTTCTAGGGCACACTCCATGCGGATGTTTGCCTCAACACAGTCTGGCCTCTGAGTATAACCAACAAAACAAAATGGTCTAAAAGCCATATGAGGAAACGGCAGAACAAAAAGAAATCCTATTAGGATTCCTTATGATACTACTTTGCAAATATAAACAATGAGTTTTTGAAACATGCATGATATTTCATCAGCAAGCCTCCAAGTAACTGCTAAAATACTTTCTTTTCTAAATAATCTAAACTTCATTAAAAGGAAGACTTTTGTGCAGTGTCTCTGCAGCACCCTTACTTTCAGTTTTCCTTGGGCCTCTGAGCAGGAATCAGCCTGTGAAAACACAGAGAGATTACTGAATTTTCAAGGACAGGCCATTCTCCCAAATTAAACAATATTCACTCTCTGTCAAAAGCTCAGCTTCAAAACTGTCAAAGCATGAGGAGAATGAGATTCTGCTTAGACCTTTTTGTGCATGATAGGATAAAACGCAAGACTTCTCTGCCTAAAGGAATCCTGATAATGAAATAATCTTTAATCTTTGTCCCTTCAAGGCACTCTCAACACCTGTTATCCTTGATACTGTCATGGGCAAAAAAGTGTGAGAATTCATCTCAAGGCTGGTAATTATTTCAGCTAATTATTCATTTGGATGGGGGGTGATTACCAGTGCTCCTTCAGGTGCAACACTGGCCACTTTCCTGCTTTGTGAAATATCAGCTGGAATTAGAGTTGCTCTTCTCCCCTTCTCCAGCCTTCCAGAAAGATGAACTCCCCTGCTATTTTAAATCTGTACTGCAATGAAACAGCTTGGCCAAGTGATTAAAATAAAGTCACTGGCAATTCGTTTTAAAGTTGAACACTGTTGACTTCATTCAACCTGATTATCTTCAGCAATACCTCAGTGTTCAGCATCTTTCTGGACGAGTATTATCCCTATGCAACCCATTCCCAAGGCACCAGAATCACCTTTACCTCTATAATATGAACCAGATGTGTAAGTAATGTGCGTCAGTTTTTTTGTTAGATCACTGGTAGTTGCAGATCACAAATGCCTAATGGTGATGAGCAGACTGTAAACTCTTCAGAGAGTCAGGCTTTTTGTGCAGCTCCACTGAGGCACAAAAGTGTAAGAAGTTCAGTTTTGTAAGGTCAAAAATACCAAGACAGTGCCTTTCTTTGTATCCTCAAAACCTTTGGACAAAAACTCCTTTCTAGGTCCTTCTTGAGACAGCATGCTAAAACCAGCCCAAGCAGTGGCGTGATTAAATGCTCAGACTGCTTCTCCTTTACAGCAAGCTGTATCTTCATAGGTGCTTTACCTCTGTCAAGCCAGGCAAACACCACACAAATGTTTGTTTCTCAGTCTTCACCCAGGGTGGCACTATATGTTTTAGAGAGGAACCACTTGTCTCAGCTCCTGATTTCTAATTTACAAGCATCCAGGTGAACCGGAGGTTGCAATACACACACCCAAATAAAGTTGAGTCTAGCTCAAAATTATTCATGGAGACAGCTGCTCACATTTCTGAGACATGATGTTTGGCACTGACTTTTGGGGAAAACTTGGTTTTTCCAAGTTCTTAAATTCTAGTAGATACAACATAGAATCCAGTCTCTGAGTGATTCCTTATGTAAGAGGAAGAGCCTAAGTTTCCCCATTTAACAAACTTTTTTT